TTTTATATTTTGAAGACTTTCTTGTCAAGGAAAAGTTTGTCAACTCTGCATCAGCCGAGGTATTCCTTAAATTTGAAGCATCTAAGCGATAGTCTTAACGCTATTGGTTAGTTCTGGTCGGCACTCAGTTTCCTATTGCACGGAGCTCTGTGGGGCAGAGGACGTGTTTAGCAAAAACAAGACATATTGTTTACATTATATCACTGTACATGATAAGATAATCACTTTTACGGATTTCTGGAAAACCATACATAATTTCTGAAAGTATTAAACTCCGTAAAGCTACTTTAAGTGAAACACTATTTATGACATAATGTTAAAAATCCAGCAGGCTGAATTCTGGAAAAGTCAGTGACTTGGTCAAATCAGTAAACAAAGCAGCAGGGAGAATGTAAAGCCTACTGCACACTGGAAACATCAGCGGCGTGGAACGGCAGAGGAACGTCACTCCTTCAGAATCCATTAGAGTCAATTGGGGTGATTCAAACCAGCCGTGACGCGGCAATATTCAGGCGCGCTCAGAAGCGGCACGCCGCACTGCTAAAGATGGGACCGGGTTCTGCTTTTGCCGTAAGTTGCTTCTGGGATGTGACAATTTCCGTAGTTAACATAGGGCTAGACAGGAAATCGCACACGGTTTCAGTGTAAAACCCCCGGTAATTTTATAAATAAAAGTCTATTGCAGTGATGCAGTGTCTCTCTATGTAGATTACGTAAATACAAGAGACCTAACAGCTTATTTACTCCCTGCATCATTCCAGAAGTTTAGCGGTGTTTTTCATTGCTTTAATCCTGGCAGTGGATTAATTGGTTTAATGGCGGACGGCATAAACTCGAGGGATTTTTTGATCTTGCGAGTCGAGTGAGGAGCACACTTTGCGGCTAGGTGTGCTAAATCTTCCATTGAGTAAATGGGTTTAACTAGTAGAAGCCAGGCTAAACTAGCAAAAAATATATCTGTCAACCCTTTTGCCCTCTGTTCAATTCTCACGTAAGTCACTGTTGATGTCCACCAAGGCGTTTTTGATTGAAACTGGATCCGACCATTAAAGTAGATGATCTTTACCTGTTTCTAGTATAAACCTTGTTTTCCATAAAAATGCTGATGTTGCCCACTGGGTCTTGTTCTTTAACAGCAGCCAGGTTAGTGCTGTAACCATCTGAATGGTTTCGTTATAAGACTTTCTATTATATTTTCTTCTCTCTGCTTTCTTCTTAATTGCAGCATTTAGACCCTTTGTTACCAGTCATTTCATCTCTCCCACTGGTGCGGCTCTTTCTTTGCTTTTTTTGAGCTGTCTTTTGCTTTTAGATGAACCCAACATGGAATACAACATTTGTCAGAGACACATCTCTGGATTTAATTTAATGTAATTTAGTTTAAGTGATTGTTTAATTGGATGTGATTTCCAACTTACTGCAGAATTAATCTGGAGTTTGGTTTTATACGGCTCAAGCCTTAGAGATATAACATAAATTGTGAAAAATCTTTTGCACGTACAAATTAAACCATAAAACACAAACAATAACACACAAGATTAAAACGGGAAGAATTATCAAAGTACGGCGAAACATTTGCCCCACCCAAAGTACTCTGGAGTGCGGAACACGCCTTCAGGCGCTTCAGTGCAGTCCCAGCCTGCTGCTGTGGCTCCTTTGGCCAGTACGAATCTCCACCGGTGGCTCCATGAACCTTGCTCCAAGCTGGTGGTTCCTCAGCCATGCTCCTCTCTTTTATGCACTCCTCCTTTGTGCTCTCGGGCTGTTAGGCAGCAACAACAGGACATCAGCTGTTGAATATTTGTTTAAAAACATGACTTCACAATAATTGTACAAGTCAGTCATGAGTATAGTTATAAAAAGCTCACAGACTTTGCTTTCTCTACCAGCATGTGTTTATGGAAGTAGGTCAAACATTTTATTGCACTTTTCAAATGAAGTCACAAAGTGCTACAAACACGAAGAAAACACAAAATCACGTTAAAAATTAGCATATTTTAAAAGATAAGTCCTGAGCTGATTAAATGAAGCCACTAGGTCTACTGATCTCCGTGTCAGAGGAAGAGCTCCAGTCTTGGAGCCACAGAAGAAAAGGCTCCGTCTCCTTATGTTTTGAGTCTTGTGTTTGGGACGATAATGGTGCGTTCCTGGTCAGCCCAGCCTAGTCCTGGCAGGTTAATTGTGTGATTTCCATGCTCAGCCAATGTTTTTTCCAACCTACTCCCCACAAGTCAGCTTTGTGCGGAGCAGACCCAACGTCTACTACTGACTGATTGGCCGGCTGAAGTTCACACCTACCTAGAGCCTCTGAATGGCGACGGTGGCACAGGAGTTAAGTGCTCGCCCCGTAATCGGGGGGTTGCAGGTTCGAGTCCCGCTCAGTCTGTCGCTGTCGTTGTGTCCTTGGGCAAGACACTTAACCCATGTTGCCTGCTGGTGGTGGTCGGAGGGACCAGTGGCGCCAGTGCTCGGCAGCCTCGCCTCTGTCAGTGCGCCCCAGGGCAGCTGTGGCTACATTGTAGCTCATCCCCACCAGTGTGTGAATGTGTGTGTGAATGGGTGAATGACTGATTGTGTTGTAAAGCGCCTTGGGGGGTTCCAGGACTCTAGAAGGCGCCATATCAAATACAGGCCATTTACCATTTTTACCATTTAAAATCAGCCAGCAGTGACTTCCTGCATGCGCGATTCATTATCAGTGGATGCAGTGGGGTAAACGTCTTGTCTGACTGCTGTTAGGAACCATGTGCTTTTTATCAGTCTCCAAAAGTAGCACTGCTCATGGCCGCTTTTGTTTACTAACTTAAGGAGGATACCGCAGACTGCTACGTGCATCATTTGCCCCACCCACATGCTCGGAAACATCCATGCTTTTGGGAAGGCTGCATGAACCACAGAGATCATGATGTGAACAAAACCTGGCCACGCGGGGGCGGGCCAATGCTACCAAGATCAGTCCAGGCCAGATGTGAAAATGTCATAAGCAGGCCATGGTCAGAGGACCTCGGGGACATGATGGAGCATAAGGATACTAAATGTCTCTACAAACACAGAGCACTGTGATTGGCTGACAATCAATGGTAGATCTGCTACAGTGTAGCATGGCTAGACCAACCTGCAGAGCTAAATCTTTAGCAACTGCAGTTAAACAATCGCAGTTGTATGGTGATTGCGTATTTTTTTAGATTTCTTTACTAGTCTCCCACCCCCACGTCCTCTGGTAATGTCTACCCTCTGAAACAGGGAGGACCACACCATGTTCATTGAAACAACAAGAAAATGAGAGCTTTAGGTACCTAGAGTCTACAGTCCAAAGCAATGGAGAGTGGAAAAGAGGTGAAGAAGTGTGTGTAGGCAAGTTGGAATGGGTGGAGAAAAATGTCAGTGTCTGTGTGAAGTGTGATGGAGACTTATCAATGTGGTGACAGAGCACATGAAGTTACTTGGTGTGAGGGTAGAGGGTGCAGAAGGTAAGACTAAACAGAGATAAATGATTCATTGTAGCGACCCCTGAAAGAAAAAGAAGAGTTTTTGGCAGTATTGCTGTTTTGTTATAACAAGACGGGAAACTTGCCGAATAGATCAAATGTGTTTTACTGTGAAGCTGTAAGGTTTAGTAACCCTGTGTTTTTGAAGTAAAGAAGCAGTGTGCCTTTGCGTGCTGGGAGGTAATGAACAGAAACACACACACATTGAACTCGATGAATGCACCCAGAGATCATTTTGAATGCATAAAAAAGCATTTTTTTAAATCGCCCCCATGGCTAATTAATCTGCAAAGAGACTTAATTTGATCAAAGTAAACCATATGCATTATACCCTTTGCCACGGTTGTTTGCTGCTAAACAACATTACCTGCAGGTATTTAGAAAATATTCACAACTTGGAAATGTTCTTGTTTTTGTGTACTTTGTCTGCTTGGAAGTGTGTGTGTGTGTGTGTGTGTGTGTGTGTGTGTGTGTGTGTGTGTGTGTGTGTGTGTGTGTGTGTGTTTTACTTCTGATGATCATTTTGAGTTTGAGACCCATATTGAACAGTATTTTATGCAGCAGAACGGCCCATTCTCAAACCCTTTGCAAAGAGACACTTTGTGTGTAACTATTGACAGCCACACCCCGTCTTTCTGCCTCTGGTGCATTTTTTGCAAGTAGTTACAGGAAAACCTGCCCCTGTGTGTACGTGCATGTGCGTGTGTTTTCCATGTAAGCAGTTAGTGTTGAATATTTACAGTCTCCTGATTATTTGTGGGGTTTTTTTGTTCCAGGAGGGAAAAATATAAAAATGAGACTTTGCTGTTAACAAAAAGAGGGCAGGCATGTCAGGAAAAGTCTGACACAAAGGCTCGTTATCATGACAGCTGGACATTGTTGCATCTGAAAGTAAATCATCATAGGATTAGAAATCAATGAGGACTCATTTTAATTGTGTTTAGTCTACATGAGAAAATATAATCTTAGGTCTGAAAAACACATTTCACTTATTGATTCAGGCCCTGTCCTCACGTAGCTGGGGATCTGCCAAAACGTAGATATTTTTCTACGTTTTGGCCTGTCATCCACACGAAAACAGAGTTTTTTCACACGAAAACGGATCTTTTTAAAAACTCCGGCCAAAGTGAAGATCTGCGTTTTCTCCGTTTTGGGTGTCTGCGTGTGGACAGACAAAACCGGAGTTTTAAGGTCCGCAACGTCACTTTCCGCGACAAAAAAAATGCTGACATCACATGTGCGACCTGTGTTTACACTAGCCGACAGCATGGATGCCCTCAGAGCTGCGCTCGCTTTATCAATTGTCCAAGCGCTTTCTGCTTGTTTGTGTTTGCAAGCGGAATTACTGCTCCTTGCGGAAGACCACAGACGAAGGACGAGGTTAAGAACGGGGGAAGTACTGCCGCCTACAGGTCTGGCATGTCCTTGACAACGTATTTATCCAGGTACGTGTGGACAGTTTTTTTTAAACGAGGTGGTGTGGATGCAAGTTTTTGGAGGGGCGGATATTCGTTTTAAAAAAAAAAACCCCGGCTACGTGTGGACTAGGCCTCAGAAATCTCATCCCGAACATGATTTCTGTCTGATTCTATCAGAAGCGAGTGTAAAAAAAAAAAAAAGGCTAAATAAATAAACAGTTGCAGGGCGTTCTTAGTGAATTTGGGCCTGAATTTGTAGTTTTAATATGATGCAGCTGAATTTTGGTGAGAGTGATGGGACTTGAATGTATTTAATCAAATACCAGTATGCTCTGGTTAACCAGGGGCCTCATTCATAAAACTTTACATAGAATCCTTACCAAACCTCAAACTCATCTAAATATCACCTATGCAAATTAATTTTGTGACCTGTAAAACGCTGCTTGTGCTCGTCTCCACGCAGTTTCAGCTTAAGAACTCACACCTGTCCCAGAAATGTGCTGAGGTGTTTTTGGATCACGTGCCGCTTCCTACACACCCACTTTCTACCACAAACGGACAATGCAAACTGTTATGATTATTGTGCTTGTAAATAAACGTGTTTACGGTGGCATTTCACGAGTAACCATGACAACCAAGATAGAAATCCACTCTTTGGGGTGTGACGGGAAAAAAATGTATTATTGCCTCTGAGCAGCACCGCGCTGCTGCGGCGGTGGGCTGTGGAGCCACAGAATGATCATGGCTGACGTTAAAAGTAAATAAATTAAAGAAGTGGTCATATGGAGTCTAAGATGGCTAAAGTAATTTATACTATCAATAAAAGCGGCACAATGGTGCGCAGGGATTGCTGAGATATTCCAGATAAGGGGGACATTTAATTACACCCAAAAGGGCTTTAGACAGGAGATATTGTTCGTATCAAACAAATATCAACCCACCTGTCGGCTAATTCCTGGTTTAAGGAAAACCCAACAGCGCTGCAGAGTTTTAGTTTATAATTTGATTGACAACAGATACGCTGTCATGCGCCACACAATTCATGTGCCAATAAGTATTTTGAAGACGTGCATATGAACTTCACATCTTTAAAATAATATAGTCTTATTTACCCATATAATTTTTATTCTCAGTTCAGGGATGGGGGTGTGATTGCTGGTTTATGTGTGTGGACGAACGCAAGGGTCTACAAGTTAGAAAATGTGTCCTAAAGTAAACAAATTAACTTATCATTGGCCGTACCTTTTTCTTTTTCTGGTGCTTTTTATTAACAGTCAGTAAATGAGAACTAACTGCGAGCCTTTATATTAGCTACCGGCAGAGTAATAATAATAATACATTTTATTTAACAGCGCCTTTCAGGACACCCAAGGACACGTTACAACAATGGGGGAAAAATAAAACAAGATAAACACCGTACAGAAATATGTCAAAACACTAAGATGCTAAAATTCACAAACTACGTGTTTAAAACTATGTGGTAAAAGCTTGTTTGAAGAGGTGGGTTTTGAGTTTTGATTAAAAAAGTGGGAGAGTGAGTGATGCGTAGATCGGGGGAAGACAATTCCAGAGGTGGGTAGGGATGGGTACCTTTGACATTTGAATCGATCCGGTACTAATTCCCGGTACCTACGAATCGATACCGGTACTTAACGGTACCAATTTTCGATACTTTTGAGTGGTTAATATTTTAATTCTCTTTTATAATTAGATACATATTTTTCTCAATATATAACAATATTTGATAAATATCACGATAAATAACATACAACTGTTTGTATTTTAACATCGTCCTTGTAGTTTTATAAGCTGATAATTAAACTGAAGCAAACATCTTTACTGTGAACTAAATTTACTGTGTATCTTCATTTCTTTTGCCGTCCTTTTTCTTTTGATTTTTCCTACTGGGAAGTTAGAATTTCCGAGGAGAAAGCGAACGCACCATTAGCTGATAACAGTGGTGGCAATGGAAGCTAACATATCAAGCTAACTTTATCTTTAACAGTTTATTTAACTGCTGGAGCAGATTTAAACGATGATGCCTCACACTTAGATCGTTGTCACTGGTTTCATCTTCACCCAATCACCTGTCGCATTTAGTGAAGTGAAGCCAAACTTTAGAGCGCGTTCATGTTCTTCTAGTCGGAATTTCGGAGTTCCGAGGAGAAAGCGAACGCACCATTAGTGAAACGGAAGCTAACATATCAAGCTAACCTTATCTTAAACATTTTATTCACCTACCGGAGCAGATTAAGATGAGGATGTCTCACTTAGATCGTTGTCGCTGGTTTCATCATCACCCAGTTACCCATCACATTTAGTGAAGTGGACCCAAGCTTTAGCGTGCGTTCTTTCTACCATGCTGCTCTGTTTACAACTGGCTCGCAGCGACCGATGACATAACGCTCTTGCGCATGCGCAGCTGTCTTGGCAAGTTCTCGTTGTGAAGGACGGGTACCAAAAGGAGGCACCGTTTCAAATGAAGTGAATCGGTGCTCGGTCGGTACTGTGGAATTCGGTCGGTACCTTAAAAAGTACCGAATTCGGTACCCATCCCTAGAGGTGGGGAGCGGAGCGGCTGAATGCTCTACTCCCCATAGTGACAAGGCGAGCGGCGGGGAGCCGATAGTTGAGGAGCAGAAGAGGAACGAAGAGTGTGGACAGGAGTGATGATGTGAATGAGATCGGATATGTAGGATGGAGCCAGGTTATGAAGAGTAATCAGCTAAAAGCTGTAAAGCAGGCAGAGAGCCTTCCTAGTGCACCTACCCGTGCAACTAAACTGTTAAGTGCGGTTTGTGGTTAGTAGAGGGCTAGAGAGTGCTGTACCTTCTATAAGTTGTTAAAAGTTTCTTACTCAAGAATCACTGAAAGTCGCTTAGAAAGGAATAGCTTAAAGTATTAAAAACTCGTTAGAGTTGCTTTAAACTTCTTTCTTGAGTATTGCTCTTATACGATGGCACCATCTAGTGGCTGACAAGCATATCACACACCGTTATTTCAAGATGGCGACTTCACGTTTCTGTTTATAAATGTGCTTCTGTAGCTGACAAACAGAGCTAAAACGTGTTGTTTTACGAGTATTATTCTCATGGCATGTTGTGTTCTCATATATTTATATTTCAGAGACTTACTTGTCCGTGAAAAGTTCATCAACTCTGCATCAGCTGAGGTACTTCCTTAAATTTAAAGCAAGTAAGCGGTAGTCTAACGCTATTGGTTAGTTCTGGTCAGCGCTCAGTTTCCTATTGCACAGCGCTCTTCGGGGCAGGGGGTGTGCTTATCAGAAAAATAAAAAAGACGTATTGCTGACATCATATCACAGATAATCACTTTTGCGGATTTCTGAAGAACCATACATAATTTCTGAAAGGGGAAAACTACGGAAAGATACTTTAAGTGTCAGATCACTGAAAATATTTTGAACAATAATAATTTTTTAATAAAAATTCATGTTCGACTAATAAATGCTGAAAGATTGGTTCTTTTTTTCTTCTTGCCAGTTTTTATTATGTGCAGCTTACATCCTTGTAACTTTTAGAAGCCTAAGGAAGATTTACCTTTTCTCCATAAAACTTTTCAAACAACCATTTTAAAACTCTTCATTTGGCCATCCCCGCCTTGGTATTAGTCACTGTGGAAACCTGATAACTCGGACATAATTCTTAATCTTTCTGAGGTCAAATATGTTTCTTTAGTCTGGTAATAATTCTGACCCCAGATTTTTTTATATCCTTTCAGCTTTCCACCATCCACCATTCGCTGGCTGCAGATCCTTTGCTGGTGAACTGCTGTGACGAGGATGGTTACACCCCACTGCACCGTGCAGCATACAGCGGCCATGTTGAAGTAGTTTGCATGTTAATCTCCAGTGGCTCCCAGGTCGACCCTCGTACCATCGACGGCTGGACACCACTTCACAGCGCGTGCCGATGGAGCCACGTCACGGTGGCGAGTAGCCTCCTGCGACACGGTGCTGAACTTAATGCCCAGACCAATGGAGGGCTTACGCCACTGCACCTGGCTGCTTCCTACACAAGCACCTCAAAAACGGACTCCGCACACATTTTAGAGCTACTCCTCTCAAAACGAAAGCTGATTGCTGGACTCCGTAGCAGCAGCGGAGAGTCGGCTGCTGATGTGGCCCGGCGTAGCGGCCCACACTACTTTCTGTTTGAGATGATAGAGGATTGCATCAGTGTGCTGCCGTCTGCTGGGACATTTTAGACTTTTTTCAGTTTAGCTCCATTACTTGATAAAAACTAGGGATGTAAGAAAATATCGACATAGCAATATATTGCGATAGTTTTTCCTGCAATATATCGATATTCAAAAGCTGAGTGTCAAATTTTTGGAAGAAGCTTGATGTGATTCAGTAATCTTTGGATTAATCAAGAAAAGAATCAGCAAATGTGTTGTTTTAGTGATGGTTTAAAGGTCATGCAAGTAAAAATGACTTGAGACTCGGGAATTGTGTCGGAAGTTTGTTGGTGAAACAAATCATGCTGCCATACAATTCTAACATTCCTGAACAAAGATGGGTACCTTGCTGGTCTGGTGAGTGGATAATAAACGATTAGAAACATTGTGAGTACATTTATGTTCACTTCTATTTGTAGTTTCACTCTTGATGATTTATGTAAACAATCTGTTTTAAGTGGTTGCCTTAGGGAGATGTTTGTTTGTTGTTTGTCTTGTTTTTTAATCTCTAAGTGTCAAAAAGCACTTTTGAAAATAAATTATAATGGACAATGGGAAAAAAGTAAGAGTCCATTTTTGGAAAAATAAATTGAAAGAGCGAAAACTGTAAAATGTAGAAGTTTTCTAGTTCTCAGAGATAAAGCGGTTAAAGATGATATTTAAAAATGTGCCATTTTAAACCATGCCCTTCACGTGGGAGCAGTTTGCTACAACCGGCACAGCCAACAGCATGTTAATCAGACCTGAGAGATCTGGAGTGCTCTTAAGCTTTAGGTCAGAAAGATGCATCAAATTAGTACTGTAAGAGTTTTAGAGGTCAGTAATAAAACTTAAAAATCAGCAGCTGAGAGACGAAAGCCTGGCTAACCACTCATGATGGCCATGTTGGGATGTAAAAAAATTCCTATACGTTCTTATTTGTTAAGAAATGAAATAGACCATGGATTTAAAAAATCTGTTTTTAGAGATAAAATAAGAATCTAGCATCACACCATAACTGTAATGTGTTTATTGTGCGAGTACAAGTTTTAGGCCTCAGCTACAATCTTCCCTCCACTGTATTTTATTAAAAATCCCGCAACTGCTCATGTTATAGAGACAATGTGTAGTTTTTACCGTTAAACTCTGGAAACGTCCATCAAAATGTTGAGAATGAATTAAAAGATGCCCAGTTGTTGAAAAATATTAGTGGCTTTGTAACATACAACCATAAACATCTAGTCTAAAATACACGTGGGTGGGTCTAAGTCTCCGGGCGACGTCATATTAGACACAGTTTCCTCCTATGGGAGCCCATGAGGACAAAATGCATTTACTGATTTTTAACAAGCAGGTAAAATATTTTAGCCTTTTATAAATGCCATTTTACACATTTACCTCTTTGCTAATTGCCAGTGATGAAATCTGATGTGCTTATTTTGCTAGAGGTTGAATGATCTGACGAAGTACTCGTTGGAAAATTGTGATCCCAGGGATTTTTGACTCTAATGACCATCCGTTGATGAGGTCTCACTTGAACACAAAAATACTGCTTTCTCGCAGTGATTTAGGTATATACCGTACTGCCCCCTATTGCCTGGGAAAACACACACCAATGACATCAAAACACCAAATGAGAATAGCTTTAAGTTAGCTCGACAAAACGTTTCCAAAAACTCTTATTTTACTTTTAAATTGTTTTCACTTTTCTCTCACGTCTCTATTTAAGCACCTAAGTTAACAGATCAAGATATAGTCAAACATAAAAAAAAGCAAAGTGATGTTTTTCTTTTAGGTCACCACGTAACGGTGGGTGTGCACCAAATGGGCTGCTGCTTTATTGTTTCCTAAAATCTCTTGCCTTAAACAAAGTAGGTGCAAAATCTGCAGATCTTTAATAATATCTAAAAGACTGTAGATGAGGCCTTAATCTATTGGGACGTTGAAGATTTTGTGTAAAAGATGCACAAATAGTTTGACTTTCTTCACCTGTGTGACGGTGCAAATCATTATATCTGCTCTCCTTGCTCTGTATTCTTTCATCATCTCAGGCACCTGCTTCCATTATTTTTGTCCAGTTTAAACTCATTTAAAGAGCAAGTCACCCCTTACAAGAAGCATATCACTCCCAATTCATGTTTGAAAAATGCAACAAATGCTGTTGCCTAGCAGACCGAGAGGGTGGAGCCACTAACAAATACACACACTCACGACATTGTGACATCATAATGTACCAGTTTACATCACAGCATACCTCTTAGCCAATATCGATGGCAGATTTAAATTCAAATGCAGTGAAGAGTTTTTACCTGACAACGGCACAACACTGACAGTTTCAGGCAGAAAATTAAAATTTTAACTAACATGCACTAAAGTGCAAAACTATTGACTACACGTGTCTGCAGCACGATTAGACACGCATTTATATAGTTTATCAGAAAAAAATTATTGATTTGGGGGTGACTTGCTCTTTAAATATTGGGTTCTCCTGTTCCTCCTTTATCATCTCATCCTTTTTTATCTTCTCCTCTCCATCTTTTTTGTTGCCTTTGTGGTTTTTCTTCTTTTTTGTCAATCATCTTTGTCATCTTATTTCATTTAATAATAGACATGTAGATCTATTATAATAGCTCATTTTATTAATGTTTATGAATCTTGTTAAAATCTGTGTATATGTAAAAGAACTGTTCATTAGGCATTTTCTACCCAGCAGTGAGGTTCATTAGCAACTATTCATTATAAACACTTACTGAATCTAAATAGTGGTGCAAGGTCATGCAAAAAAAAACTCACATTGATGCTAACAACATTTGTTACCAGGTTACTTGCAATGCTTGCAACAGGGGAAACGAGAGTTATGCATGTATAATTTTTCCACCCTTTTCCCACAGAGGCTAATTGTACTGTTCAACATGTAACAAGACATTCTTATCTTCATTTGTCGATGAGTAATTGTGCACTCATCTGGCCTGATGTGTGGATTTATTAAAACAGGGTGCCATGCTTACGCTGAGTGCATTTTCATTAGGAGATCTCAACGTTCTTGTTGAGCTCTGTAGATAGTGACTCCATCATCTCTCCACTCCTCAGAGACGAACAAAAGCTCCAGTATTAACGAAAAAGAACATGTATTTTTATTCTCATCTTGTGCTGGGGATAAACCTGACTCACAGGCGTCTAGAGGGAGGACCTTTGTCCTAATGATGACAAAATAATTAGCAGTTGTGTTGTTTGGAAATTGATGACTAAATTTAAATGCGGCCCGTCATTTTTAATTCAATTTTATTACTTATTTATTCACAGACTCTGGTGGACAAGCTCTTAATTAATCGTGACTAAAAGAATCTTAATTCTTCATTCCTGCACCTCCATCATTTGACAAGGCTGAAGCTATTTTCTTTCCTTTTGTTTGTTCTGGTCGCTTTAGAAAACATGCTGTTCATTCTCTAATTACCTGCCCATTTCTTATTGGATGTAAGAGCATGTTTGAATTATTCCCACATATCTAAGCCTTAATTCAATTAAGTGAGACAGAATGAATATGCAGAGTTCAGCAGAATGTCTCTCTGCACTTAAAGAGAAATGTCAGATCTATTGAAGTGGGACACAAATGATGGTACCCTAGAAAAAGATCGGCCATGGGGACATGTGAAGCTAAGTTGTGTCCTGTCATCGGTGTGGGCGACGGTGGCACAGGAGTTAAGGGCTCGCCCCGTAATCGGAAGGTTGCAGGTTTGTGCCCCGCTCAGTCTGTTGTTGTCGTTGTGTCCTTGGGCAAGTCACTTAACCCACCTTGCCTGCTGGTGGTGGTTGGAGGGACCGGTGGTGCCAGCGCTCGGCACCTCGCCTCTGTCAGTGCGCCCCAGGGCAGCTGTGGCTACATCGTAGCTCATCCCTATCCAGTGTGTGAATGTGTGTGTGAATGGCTGGTTGTGTTGTAAAGCGCCTTGGGGGGTTCCAGGACTCTAGAAGGCGCTACATTAAATACAGACCGTTTACCATCGGTATCATGCATGTCTCAGATCTGCCTGTTTAAAGGGTTAAAAGTAGCCGTCCTTCAGACAGATGAGACTAAACTGGAGCATCTTGTACATTGCATCAGTTCTATGTTCTCAGACAGGGATTTTCATTAGTTGTCAGTTATAATCATGCACATTAAAATAAATAAACATTTGAAATTCATCAGCCTGCGTGTAATGAATGAATCTAATATACACGTTTCCCTTTTTAAAGGAATTACTGAAATAAATCAACTTTGTCATCATATTCTAATTTTATGACCGCCACCTTTCTGCTGATGATTTAGAGATACATTTTTTTTTGTCTTTTTTCTGCAGGTCTAGAAGCAGACTCTTGTTCATTATTGTTTATTTTTGTGGAACCCCCCCCCCTCTCTCTCCCCACCTTTTCTTGTCCTCTCTCTTTCACCTCTGTCTCCGTGTCTGGTCGGAATTACAAAGCATTCAACAACAATAACAATAAAGTTTTAAGTATCAGGCGTGACATTGAAAGCAAACGCTTTGATGCTCCACCTGAGAATAAATCTGTAAGGCTTGTCACCAGCATTCAGACATCAATTCTGCTTGCTTCACAGCCAGACAGGACACGGTAAAAAAAAAAAAAAGATAAATTTTAGCTTCATTTGTTGGGTAGTTTGCTGTAAAGATTGAAGATTCCTTCCTTTGTTGAGCTCGTTCCACCAGCCCTGCAAAAAAAGCAGCATTTGTTTCATGTTTGCCAGCCCTCTCTCGTCAGGCCCGGCTCATTTTCTTCAGCTTCTTCTGCAGTCCTTCAAGTCTCTCATCCACTCACTGCTCTGTTGTTGCATTAGTCTGAGTTCACACGTTCACCGGCTTCTCTGCATGAAGTATTATATGTTTGTGTTTCAAGTGGTGTTGTATTAGTGCAGGATCCACAGGCCTCTCTGCTGTTGGTCCTGCTTGTCTCTGCGTGGATCTTTAATCTGCCTGGTTTCTCCAGCCAGCTGCTCCCCTTAGCTTATAAATAACCCACACACACTCCCTTCCTCCAAATTAAATTCCTGTATTTGGATCCAACATCTAAAAAAAGTCAATAAAAGCTGTTTTATTGAGTGCATTGAGCCTGCTCATTTTCCAACTTGATGTTCGCTGCAGCTATGTAAAATCCTCAGATCTGTTTAAGGAGGAGGAGGATCACACCCTTTGCCCATCCTCGCTGTGCCAGCAGTTATAATGTGAGCATGATGAGGCATATTATTATTTACTTTGGGAAAAAAAGTCCTTAAGTGGTTTAACATTTAATCAGTGAGGCAGCTGGTGACGTTGTGCCAAAACACTTACCGCGTTTATTTAGAGATTTAATTTCAAAATTAGCGTTCAAAGTGTCAAAGAAACAGCAGAGTTACATATGAATGGGGAAGCAGTC